GCTCTCCTTCAGGCAAGACGAGGAATAATAAACAAATCCGATGCATTATCAACTATGTACTGTGGAGGAGGTGGGGAAATGAGGTTATTTCGGCTTGATTTTAAAATTCTTTCTTAAAATCCCATTGTTACACCCTCCCAGCCCATTCACCTTTTCACTAACGCTTACCGTCATTATGTTATTGGTTTTGTTTTAAATGTTTATAATTTTTATCGGTCTTTCAAAAGACGCGCGCTCAAATTTCCAAAACGTGCGACATTTTTTTTAACTGATTTTTTTTTAAAAACCTCCCTCCGCAGCGTACACTACGATGAACGATTAACGGCCGTAAAGTAACATTGCTCTTGTAAAGAACGTAAAAAGGAGTTTTTATTCCTATCTGAATGGAGATAGAATAAAATGGACGCTTTTTCTTTTACTTTTTTTTGTTGCTACAGATTGAACTTGAAGGTATTTTTTCAGCTAAAGGAATCATTTTTATTGTAGTCGTTGACGAATTGCAATTTATTGTAGGCCTTTGCCAAAGTATAAAAGACACCACTTAAATTGACTGGCCCGTTCGCAAAAAATAGGATTTTTTTTGTGGGGGCGGGTGTCGTAATGAAATAAACACCTCCCATCTCCCCTCTCATTTGTAACCATCCATCACAATAAAATAAACGTTTTTCAGTGCTAAAGTTAAATTAGTAAAATAAGGCTTCTACTTAGAGTTGATAATATATTACAAGGGTGTAGATTAGTATTCATTAGGCCTTCCTTAGAATCGATCCCTGACTTCTTAAAAAGTTATACAGTGTAACCCGGATATAAGAGACCCTGATATAAGAGAAACCCGGATATAAGAAATTTTCTCTGGTCCCAAATTAGAGCCTGTGTTAATGTATATAAAATAGACCAAACCCGGATATAAAAGAAACCCGGATATAAGAGACTTCTTCTCCGGTCCCGACAACTCTCTTATATCCGGGTTACACTGTATATAGTTTTTTTTATTTACAAATGTCCATTTTGAGACTGTACTTACGTGGACATTTCTTTAAATTATATTTTGAACGCAAAGGGTTTTTTTTTCTGATAAGGGAATCATCGCTAACAATGGTAATCCCAATCATGAGACCCGTAACCATTAAGGTCTAAGGGGCAGCACATGTACTGCAGCCGCAGTAGAAGTGGAATGTTTTGAGCAAGATAGCCTGACGGAGCGCAACCCTCTCCAGGTTGGTCTGAATTCAGAGCTTTCCTCTTCTTAGACTGGTTGCCCTCCCACGCAAAAGAACCCACCCTGTCCTGTTAATTACCCATAGCTGAGAGAAGAAGACATACATTCATATCTTTCCCAAGGATATTAGCAAGTAAGTGAATATAATGAACTCGATTGAAATTCGAACTCGGCTCTCCGATTCCCCAATCGGAGCCGCAATCCATTACTCCACATAAATTGTAATATTAATATTAGCCGTTTTCTTATAAGGAAACTTTTGGCTTTCATTGATCGAGCAGCGATCTTGCTTGCTTACGCTTTTCTTCACTCCTTGGCTGGGATCAAAGTGTAGTATCTCTTTTCCTAATCTCTAACGGTACTATTAGCCCTTTTCTTAGGTATTTCTAGATCACGTAGCCATTGATACCGTCGATAGAAATTTGTAGTTTCTTTGTTTTAAGCCAATTTTTCAGTAAAACAGGTTTCTCAAATCCAGTAACTGTTATCGATCTTTCTTTCCTAACCTTCTATTTGAAGTGGTGTGCAATATCAACCTTATTATTATGTCATTATTTTCTCTTCATGTTACATATGATATCCATTTTAGTTGTTGCTGCCATTGAAAGTCCTTAATTGACATGGTTTCTGGTACAGTTTCTTGGTGTGTGATTCTATAACGCCAGTCCATGAGGATGGTGTGCTCGCTGAAACCTATACCCTTCACTCGCTCCGAGCCATTTTTAACTACTTTGGAAAAGAGGTTGTCTATCGCCGACAGTTTGTATATTGATGAACGAGTTTGATGACTTGTATGGCATACATATGAAAGTATCGATCTGATGAGACTATTTAAGAACATTGACTTGATTTTAGGTTAATCAAAATACTCTTTAATCTAATGTTTGATCAATGGTAATTGATTATGGGCCCCTCTAAAAGTATATTCCTTTAATTGACAGGTTCACTCAGAGGAATTCTTTTTGGTTGGGAGGGGGGCTCTTTTGTAGATTAACATTTGATTAATATTGATTTTTTAAAAAACCATTTTAGACATTAGAGTTTATCATATAAATACAGTCATAATGATCCCTGACTTTTTAAAGAGTTATCTGTCCTTTGTTTTTATTTACAAATGTCAAGTTTGAAACTATACTTGTGTCATTGATCACTGCGTACCGTTACGAACTGGGGGAACAAGACCTGATTTTTTTTTTATATAACTTTAATGAACAAACCGGTTCAAATAATGTAAAGGGAGGTGGTTTTAAGATATTTGTTTCAGTCATAAGTAATTGACATTTAGCTAATTCAGTTAAATGACGAAAATATCGTCCTAACTAACCTTTCTTTGGATGTATCATATTACAAGGGTAAATTTCTACAAACGACATCCAAATTTGAGTTCCATGATATGCGTGTGATAGGATCATCGGGTTATTGTTTATTTAGACTTATTAAAACGCAATGAAACATTTAATGCATATTTATATGTCCAGCAGCTGTATCCTATCAACAAAAAATAACAGAAATAACTTAATCATGGCGGCACTGTTGTTTGGTACACTAAACTCGCACAAATTATCATGCCGCAGAAAAAAATTATTTCAAAGCGTGCCATGCAAAATATGCATCGAGCCGGGATTGAGATTGAATAAAAGGATTTAATCTTGCCAGCATTTGTACACAAAATTATTTATTTTTTCGTTGGCGCATTTTTTGCAACGCTTTCTACTATTGATCCCCACATTTATATTTGGTCTCCATTTCTATTTGCTCCCCACATTTCTATTTGATCCCCACATTTCAATTTGCTCCCCATTTCTATTTGCTCCCCACATTTCTGTTTGCTCTCCATTTCTATTGGATCCCTACATTTCTGTCTGCTCCCTATTTCCTTTTGCTCCCCATTTTTCTGTTTGGTCTCCATTTCTATTCGATCCCTACATTTTTTTTTTGCTCCCCATTTCTGTTTGCTCCCCACTTCTATTTGCTCCCCACATTTTTATTTGCTCCCCATTTCCATTGCTTTCCATTTCTTTTCTTTTCTTGTGGAGAGAGTGGGGCTATTAAAATTGGCAGGTCAAAGAAATTGCCGTATAATCAAGTAAACAGTGGAAATAAACGGGAGCTTTCTGATCTATCCAGAGTGCCCTTCAGTGCGATGTTATGACTAGCTTTCTATTGCCCCGAGGTGACGTTGCCTGTATGAATGGGAAATTTTGAATGCTACGACAAGGGGGTCAAAGATGAACGGTGTACAGAGGGTGAGCGTGTCGTGAGGTTTCGTTATGAAGAGTCTTTTCGGAGCCACATATTTTAACAGAGGCCTTTTAAAAAATAGCAACAACAACAACAACACACACACACACACACACACACACACACACACACACACACACACACACACACACACACACAAAAAAACAACATCCAGTCACACTGAGATTTGTCTGTTCACCTCTTGGTGGTTAGAAATCGGACGAAGACACACAGATACACACACATGCGCGCGTACACACATACACACGTATTTTCTACAAACACAACATTGCACACTGTGACAAGTAAATATTAAAACATCACACTTGTTCAGCAGTTGTTTTGGTATATAACTGCCAAAGCATACACACTTGGAAACCTGCGTTGGCACATTCAACCACATAAAAAAACAAAAAAACACTGCATACCTAGGGAAACAATCAAAGCTACAGTTCTTTTTAATCATTTCACCCCAAGCAAGGCAATAAATCCACTAAGATACAAGGGGTTACTGAGTGTAAAAGAATAAGAAAAAGAAAAAGAAAATTATTAAGGAGCGAGAACAATAAAAGAAGAGGAATCAAGAAGACAGCAGATAACGATTGACATTGCATTTAAATTTTTGAATAATTGACTTGGTTGGGAAACAAGAAAAAGCCGGAAGAGAGTTCCACAGAGGAGAAGTCTTATAGTGATTTTCTAAGTGGAACTTAGGTGTGGTACAAAGCCGAAAATATGGGGCACCTTGTGAGGATCGAACTTACTATACAGTAGAAATTGATATGGCGAGACAAGCTTGCTAAACTTTACACCACTTTGAAGTGCCTTGAAGTGATTTACTAAGCGTAGCGTAGATGTGGCACAAGGCCGAAAGTATGAGGCACCTAGTGTGGATCAAACTCACTACACAATAGGAATTGTTATGGCGAGACAAGCTTGCTAAGTATTACACCATGTCGAAGTGCTTAAATGATTTTCTAAGCGTAGCTTAGATGTGGCACAAGGCCGAAATTGTGGGGAACCCAGTGACGATCGACGACACATCTAAACCGTAATGGATCTAGTGAAACAAGTTTACTAATCATGACACCACGCCGAAGTGTCCCACTGGCAAGAAGTGTTATATGCAAATATATTATCAGTTTAAACGTTATTTTAGTGGCTACCCATATTTGAGTAGACGCCCCGTTCATTAATTAAACAGTATATTTACCTATTTTCATCTACTGTTTAACGACGATTTCTCCTGCAAAGAGGGACGCAGGTTCGAATCCGGCCGTAGTAGGGCATATAATTTATTTAATATTTCTCGAATATTCAGGCCAGCAGACGATAATAAATAAGCAAATATACTGTTTAACAAATAAACGGAACGTCTACTCAAATATGAGTATCCACTAAAATAAAGTTTAAAGTGAATAAAACTGTCGGATTAACAAATAAAAAATCCACTACTTCTTTAGAAATTGCTTTGTTTACGTTCGGATACGAAACCAAGCAGATATGAAATTTTGAGACTCGGGGAAGCATTTGAGTTTAT